ACTTTTTTGAATGACAACATAGAGTTTTAATTTCATATTCCAAAGCAGAATATTTTTCTAAGTATTTTGATTCATGAAAATATACCTCCGTACATGGTAAAATCAGGAAAATCTTTGAAGTTGTTTTATTCTAATATGATACATGTGACTTGTATTGCACATGCCTGTAATCTAATTGCTGAAAAAGTTTGTGAATTATTTCCTAACATTAATATTTTAATCAATAATGGAAAAAAAATATTTTTWAAATCACTGAGTAGAATTTCAATTTTCAAAGATGAAATGGAAAATATACCTTTACCTCCAGCCCCAGTAATAACAAGGTGGGGTAACATGGATAGCTGCTGCTTTATATTATGCGAAATATTTTATAAAATACCAAAAGGTAATTGAAAAGCTCGCAGTAGACGATGCACAATGCGTTAAAAAAGTACTCGATATTATTAAAGATAGATCGACTGTGAATGAATTAACATTTATATCAACTCATTTGTCATTTTTAGTTGAAATAATTAAAAAACTTGAAACTTAAAATATGCTTTTATCTGAAAGTTTTTGTTTGATAARTGAATTAGAAGAAAAAATAAACATTATTCCTGGACCAAAAGGGGCAACATTAAAAACAAAATTAAATGATATTTTTTCCAAAAACAAAGGCCTAACAGTATTACGTAACATTAATAAAGTATTAATAGGGGAAGCGGAAGTGGTTCAACTAGATAAAAACTATATAGATCCAATGATTTTAAGCTCTTTTAAATTTGCTCCAATAACTTCGGTAGATGTTGAACGATMATTTTCAATATACAAGCATTTATTAACAGATAGACGGCACAGTTTTACCGAAAAAAAACTTGAATATCATTTAATAATTAATTTTAACAATAAAGAATAAAAACACACATTTTGAGTTGTATATTTTGTTTTTTTTTAAATAGAAATAATTATGTATTTATTTGTATGTGTTTAAATTTAAATATTTGTATTTTTTCGTGCTTAACATAATTTTTAATTTTTTAATATAACTTTTTTTATTGCATATTTTTTGCATATTTTAATGATTTTTACTGCATATTATAATTTTGATACTTTTTAGTGCATATTAATCCGGGTTCTAGTTATAAGTATTTAAAGTTTAGATTGGCAGAGTGGAGTGGTACGGGATTATCCCGCAAAATGTTTCTCCACTACTCCACTTGTCTAAACTTTAAATACTTATAACTCATAAACTACTCGTTCTAAATTCGATTTTCATGAATCAAAATACTTAGGAAAATATTTTGCTTTGGAATATGAAATTAAAACCCTATGTTGTCATTCAAAAAAGTAAAAAACTTAAAAATGATAAGGATAAAAAATATTTTAAAATACAATTTTTTAATAAAAACGTTGGTTTTTGAACAACTTGAAACTAAGTAAAAAAATATTTTCAAAAACATTAGTAATTTTTGAAATAATGAGTGTTCAATGATAAAAGAATCACCCGGTTTATTTAAAATAATAGAGAAAAAAATAGCAATAGCTTTAAAAAGTTAATTGTTTGTATAAAAATATAAGACATAAAAGGTACCTATGTAACTTTAGGTAACAGGTTTTAAAGCCAATTAAGTAATCTTTATAAATGTTGTTAATTTAATTTTTTTTTCAGATATGTACATTAAAAATATATCTATTTATAACTAGTTATTTATATTTAGTATTATTATGATTTATTATTTCTTTATTTTCTTGCCGAAAAAATTCCATTTAYAAAACAATCTCTAGTATATATAATTAAAATAAAAGCTATAGCTTAAACAAATGATACTAAAATTTAATTTTTATAAATATATTCAAATAAACATTTAGCAAATAAATTTACTACCTTAATTAATTACTGACCAAAATTAGCTTCTATAGTATTTTCTATTGCCATCAGTTTATATACAGGTGATAACTTTAAAAAAGTCTTAGAAATATTATTAATTTAAAAAAAGAGCAACAAGTCGGTAATGCTCTACTGTAGATATATAAAAAACGATCCCAAACGAAAACGGTTTATCAGCATTTAAATATTACCAAGTAAACTGTATGATATTATAGCGATTAAAGTAATTTTTTTTTTTATTATGCATTAGTACTAGAATAGGTTAAATTCATTTTTAACAAAAAATTTTCATTGTGATTATACAATAAAGTACTCTAATAGTCTCAAGTACCAAYGAATAATATTTTTAAATTTCAATCTGTTAAATTTGAATTTAATGATATAAAATCATTGTAAGTAAAAAACAATTCTGAGCTGAGACAGTCTGTCAGATTATAATATTACTGAGTAGGTACACTTAATGATACAATTATGATAAAAGAAATATATTTTACTATATTATAGGGATTAGAGTTATAGTAGATTAAATTCATTTTTGTTGATAAAACATTTAAAAATTGAAAATGTTATTGTGGGTATAAAATTTAATAATACCCTACAAGTTTCAAATATTATATTAATATTTTTTTTTGTTTGTATTTGTTCATTGAAACGACCTCTAGATGTAAGTCAATGCTTATCACAAGTGGGTAGTAAGGAGATAATGTGATCTATTTATCTATGCATATCACTATATGCATGATACCCCCCTTCTCCAATAAGAGACATGTGCGGTCTTCACTCCCAGGGGAGTGGGGCCTAGTTGGAAACCGGATGATGCAATCGGACGACAGCGTGGGAATTCGGTGATCGCGTAAAACCACACAATTTTTTTTTTTGCACTTTGCTATGAATTGAACCAATGACTGTGTGAGTCGTAGTCAACTGCGTGACCACTGCGCTACTCTGGCCCCCAAAATTTAAAATTAAWATTTTTTTCTTATGATAACTTACGAGGAACTTTATCATTGGAAAAATATTGAAGTCGAAAATCAATTTTTTTTATTTATTGATTTATTTAAAAAACAAATTATAGATTTATTTAAAATAAGATGTTACAAAAGAATGATATCCTTTTTTAAAAACAGAAAACTATATTATATTTCTACAGATGGTAGTACTTTTATACTATAAGTTTATCTCTCTCCTTCTACTATGTATAATTATGTCTTATCCACATAGTTAAATCACTCATTTCATGAACTGGATATCCATATAGTGAATTTAAAAAAAAATGTATTTGGACAACTTTTTCATGTAATGGACAATTCCTATATTGCGTAATTAGTATAATTATTAATATAAAACAAGATGTTGAACAACATTTTATGTTATTTAGCAATAAACAATTATTTTATATCATAATATTATAACTATAATACTTGTCTATAAATTATTATATGAACAAAAATATAACAATAATTATAGCCAATAAATTATATCATASTTCAGTAGTAAAAGTTTGAAAAAAAGTTGATAAAAATGTGGAATATTTGGTGCAAGAAATGATTTGTGAGGAGGGCAAGGATTTTTGTTTTGTTCAAGTAAGGCAAAAATTCCTTGCCAATCAAGTAGGGGTGCTTGTAGTAACAGCATATGGTATGTAATAGTCAATGTCATCATCAATCATTGGGTAAAAATAAATAATAAGGGAGGAAAATATATAGGTATACATGTTCATTATTATAGTTTAAATCAATCAATTAAATATTTTGTTGATCAAATAATAAAAGAAATATAGATAGGTATAATTAATTTCATGATTATTTCATAATACTTCATAGGTAACACTGCTGTTTATAAATATAATATATRTATGGTATAAGAAAAATAAAATAAAACTATAATGTAATATGATTTAGTTTATTGACTACAATTGTTATATTTTTGCTCATAGAACAATATACAGAAAAGTATAGTTATAATACTATTACATAATATAATTATTGTTAAATAATATAACAATCTCGTATTACAATAATTACACAAAGTAATTAGATATTTTAAATAGACATATTTCATGCAATGGATGTCCATATAATGTATTTTCGTCAACATCCACAAAATGAATGATTTCAGAATGTGGATGCGATGTATATATCTTCAAGGTTCAATTCATCTCCCTATATTATAAAACTGAAATAATTACCAAATTTCTGATCCTAATAGAAACTACAGACTATTTTTAAAATATTAACAATAAGTTCTGGAAATTGACTACTACAGATTTTTAAGGAACATGACACTAAATATTTTAATTTCTAACCTTATAAATATTTAAAAGATTGGTCAGATTTTGAGGTTTACATAAAAACCAATTGAAAATGTTGAATTAAATGTCCTGTTATCAACAAAAAATAAAATCATGGATATTACAATATTCTTTCCCTACACACCTGACAAAATTTGGGCTTTAATTCTAGTAGGCCATACTTTTTCAAAATTTGGTCGAGATTTTTCAAAAATATTTATAATTTACTACCTACCAATAGTTAATTAGAAGAAATATTATTATTTAAATTAAATTAAAGAAATACTTACATATCTGATTAAAGAATCGAAAAAATTATTTTTCCCTCTATAATAATAAGACATTTCTTGACCCAGACAAATATTTTAAATTAAATAATAACAAGGCAATATAAAATACTTTGTACATACCGTTCGACGTTTTGATGTTTCTGCATCGTTACGTTTAATCCATACTTCATCCATTGAATCATAATCTAAAGTGGATGTAGAAGATGCCTGAGACTTCATTTCTACCAAATTAACATCAAAAAAATGTTTATCTCTATGGTGTGATAATGGTGATATTGGAGGTGTTGATTTAGCACTTATGTTAGCACTACTCAGTTGGTCGTCTGTCAATGTTGATTTTAAATTATTTTCAATATGTTCATCTTCTTCTTTACATTCTGAAAGACGTCTACCAATAAACTGATGACTTCGTGATGGTAAACGATTAACGTGACGCAAAAAATAATGTTGAAACCAATCAGCGTCTTCAGGACTATCTTGAGCTCCTTTAACAAAAATTGATTAATTGAAGGTTATTAATGGAAAATAATAATAATAAAATATATTAAAACTAAAATTATGTTCAAAATGGATAAATTTGAAGTATCTAATCAAGTAACACAACACAATTTCAATTTAAAAAAGCTTCTAAAAAATATAACTTATTCATCAATAAATAACATTTAAATAAATGCAGTTCCACAATCTATGGATAAAATAAATTTTTATATTCTTATTGTAAGCATTTCATCATAATATTATATCGATAGTAACTTTTCTCAGTTTTMAAAGTTTATTCATTCCTATAAAACTATTATAATCAAATTAAAAGTTATATAACAAAAAGCGACACATTTAAAAATGTATTTTTCCCCATTGTTTGTAATTCGCATGTAACACTGTTTTGTGTAACATTTTAAATTTCTTAAATGGGATACTTGCAATCATAATTAATTTATTAAAATAGAATAAAACAGATACCCTATTTGAAATTTTTATATTATACATAGTAAATTTATAAATATATATTATTATATTAAAACATTCAATATTCTAATTCATCAGTATCRAACTTTTTAAACAGAGATTTCTCTACCACACAAACCAAATTTTCATTTTTTTTATTTACCTACACTAAAATCATAGGCGGATAGGCCTACCGGGCAACAGGGCATTTCCCGGTGGGCTCCCTTTTGTATTTCGGTCATGGGGCCCTTTAATATCATATATTATTAAATTTGTTTTCACACCGGGGCCCCTTTTTAAAATTTTCCGGTAGGCCAGAAATGGCCTATCCGCCCATGACTACAATCTTTCGTTGTTTMACATATTTGAGCAAAGAACAGATTGAATTATTAAAAAAATTTCTGTTGAGGAATTTAAGGTAATTTAGTTTACCTATTGACCAACTAATATTGTTTTAAATATTATAATCATAAATTTGAAATTTGAAACCTAGTTTGATGTACTTAATGATTTAATTTTTCTAACAACAATTAAAAATTACTTAGGTTAAGTCTTTTAGGTATGTAATACTATGTACATACCTTTCTTTTCAGTTCAAACTGAAAAATATAGACAATTCTAGTAATGAATGTTCAAACATTTTTTTATCGTAAATATGGATTCTAAATTCAAACTATAAATTGCATGCAACAATCTTCAATTTTTAATTCTATGAACATCAATGCTTGATACTCAAAAACAAAGCGGAAAAATTACTCTAAAYTATAAATTCTCTTTAGAAAGTTTTTGACAAAAGCTTCTAGAATAAAACCTAAGGTACAAGTGAAAAATGATTATTACAAAACTTAGAGTCTCGTTTTAATATGTTTTAGATAAGAATATTTTTATGGTATATACAGGGTGTCCCGTGAGGATGAGGATTTACCCATTGCGATATCTGACGAAAAAATGGAGATATCAAAATTCTGGTTTTGTAATAAGACTCACAGGGATAAGAACTACAATTATTTCATATTTTAATTTATTTTAATGTTTTGGTAAAAAAATTAAAAAATACATTTTTTATTTAATTATTTCAAAAAAAATTGAAGATAGCCATTTTGTAGTTTCTGAAAATATTGACTTTCAAAATTTTATTTTCATTAATTTCTTGATTTTTTCTAGTTTTAAAGAAATAAAATATAGTTATAAATTTATAACTATTAGGAMCCGGAAAGTTTTCGGACAGCTGTATGGGAATGCCCGCGGGGCGGCGGGTCACATGTTTGGAAACATTATGGTGTTAAATAATTCGCAATTTTTCTCAAAACTAAAAAAAATATTAAAAACCAGGAAACTAATAAAAATGAAATGWTGAAACGTCAATATTTTCAGAAAAATAAACTTTACAAAATGGCTATCTTCAATTTTTTTTTGAAATAATTAAATAAAAAATGTATTTTTTAACTTTTTTACCAAAATATTAAAATATGAAATAATTGTAGTTCTTATCCCTGTGAGTCTTATTACAAAACCAGAATTTCGATATCACCATTATTTTGGGAGATACCGCAATGGGTAAATCTTTACCCGGACACCCTATATATATATATATAGCAGAAATCGGTCAAAATATTTTGAAAATTACATTGCGAATAGAAAACAATAAYAAACAAATAATGATAAACATTTGAAGTCTACAATTAATATTTTTTTCAATTGAAACAAAATAAGTAAATTGGAAAACAAAAATATGATAATTTTTTGTTTAAATATTCTATCTCGTTGAAATTTGAATTTAAATTTATTGCTATGAAAACAAATTACAAGAGCCTATTATATAAGATATTTTTAAGTTTTTTGGCAGAGAAAAAAAATATGCCCTCACATTTTACTGATTCAAAAGCGTGACTGCAGTGTATACATTTAAACTATTTAATAGTGATAAATCACATTAAAAACCTGTAAGATTATTTATGATTTTTCAAAAAAATTTAAGTTTTTAAGTTAAACCTTTACATACAATTTTTTGATGTAACTTTTGGTAAAATACTGAGAAAAAATTCAATATGATAAGTTTACTACATACAATTGACTATAATTTAATAAAAAAATATGATGGTAATACATTTATCGCACCTATTAGAATTTAAAAGCCAAATAATAAATTTTAAAATTTTAATCCTAGGGCCATGTAAAAACACTCAAATAATGTACAATAATAATTATCAARCTAGGATTTAATAGCATTTTTTAATTGTTATAGGATACAAGCTACAAATTTGTATTATGCACAAAGGAAATCAAAATAAAATTTTATACTGCTATTTTTTGGTAATTTACATAATATAATGTTTATKTTGTATTTTCATGAACCTAGTTTATATTATGTCTATATGGTATGGAAAAATAGAAAAAGAGTGTCAATTATTTTTATTATTTTTATTTGAATCCATAGAAAAAATGGTAATTAACCACAAAAAAAATTATTTCTGAAAATTTACAATCTGTATTTTATAACACAATAAGTAAAAAAGACTACTGACATAACACTACATACATAATAAAAATAACACAAAGAACAAAATGACGGAAATCATCCAGCGATGGTACCCTTTGGTAATTTATTAATTTTAAAGCAATTCATCAAATTGGACTATCAAACAGTATACAATTCTGACTCCCTATCAGTTGTACGGCTCGCATTTATACAATATACAATATTATACATAGGGCATATTATAGCGCCTATTTTGAAATTTTTTCTAAGTTATATATAGCGCATATTTCAATTATTTTTAATGCTATAAAATCCGAGCCCTGATAATTATAAAAACAAACTATCAACGTTTACTATCAAATTGCACAAATAAAATAATAATAATATATAAATATTTGGTGTTAATATAATAAGTATTTAAACCATTCATTAGGATAAAAGTATAATCAAAATTTGTGTATAGTAACGCACATAATCATCAGGCAACATGCATTCAACTTAAACACTCTGTTGATCAATAACAATAAATAACACTTTTAAAACAAAATTGCACCTGTTTTTGTTAATTAAATTGAAATCATTGAATGTTCTACTTTAAATTGGTATGAAACATTCATAAATAAAATAACGAATATTAAAATATTTTAAAATAACTAACATTTTAAATAGTTAGGTTAAACCTAACCTATTCTTAAATATATGATTAATTAAGTTATATTTGTAATGTAAAATTGAAATGGAATAGAATAACTTATAATGATGAAAAATGATTTTGATATTATATTCATATACTTGAATAATCAAGGAACAACATTTTTTTTTTTTTGTAATTCTAAATTTATTAATTTATCGTAAATATTAAGTTATATATTATTATATTATTAATTCATGTAATTAAGAATAGAAAAAGAAAATAATTTTAGATTTAAATATAAAAGTTAATTTAATATTAGAATCACTGATTAGTCTATTAGCTATACAAATTATATTAAACAAGTACAATTGAATTGAAGACTAATAGACCAAAACCAAAACACATGGCCACCATACAAGTAGGTAATATGATCAGCTGATGATATCTATGTTCAAATAAAATTTATTATTTTTACCAAGTATTTCTTTGAGCACTGCCATAGATGATATAGTGTTATAATTAATGGTGTTGTAATTGATGGCAGACACCAGGTCCCCAAMTTCGTCGTCCTCTTCTTCACCCTCATCATCCTGTCCAGTGTTGTTACTTTGCTTCCCAGTTGTAGATGACATTCTCACCTTAATTTCCAATACAAAGCATCGAAACACCAGTGAACATTTTGAAAGAACGAATACCAATCAATAAAACAATTGCCCCCACAAAACATTGGGTATGGGGATCCCTTTAGAAATGAAACAACACAAGATATTTATACATATATTATATTATATATATGTATATATATATATATAAGAACATGCAAATTATGTAAACATAAAATACATATACGATGTATATATTATAAACACAGATATACGGAATAACCCTGTGTAGTGTGTATTACTTTGTTATGAATAGTAAAAATATAGTAATATGTACCTTAGTTTCTTAAAAAATGTACCGGCCAACCATTATGATCCGAGGCCCTGAAACAAAGGGAGTGAGAGACGAAAAACTGTCGAACACTCGGAGAGGACGACGGTCGGTGTGAACCGATCATTAACAGATTACCAATAAACAAAACCTTAACAACAACGGTTGGCTTTGCGAAAGCTGAAGAATTATTATTATTTTCCCCTGTGTTTTTGTTTTTTGTTTCACTATATCGATGTGCCGATGTGCGTGATGGGGGCGGTAAGAAGCTGCGGATTCAGCCGAAAAGATGGCGCCACCAGCTGCGTTGTTATTGTTCTCGTCAGCGATAATAATATGACTTAAGGTATTTCTGGGCATTTCAAAAATAGATAATTAAAACAAAATATATTATACAATATGCAATTATCATTGTCCGTCGACACGCACATATGCATATGCGATACCACTTAACAGTTAACACCCACCGGCCACCACACTCGGACATAATATTTTTTAAGGCGATTATTGGCTTTTTTTAATTTTCAATGAAACGCCCGCCAGAGCAGTTTGCAAACACACTAGAGATGCACMATCGCAGCTCGTAATTTGTGATTATAATTTATATTAGGTATAGCCTGTTGGTAGTGCTTACTGCTTACCGTGGTTGTGGATCTTATCCGATCGGTCAATTTTACCAACCACTAACCATCGATTATGAATAATATTTTTTTCCGACAGTCGACGACCGACGTTTTCGCGTTTTTATTATTATTTTATTGGCAATTTTCTACTACTGACAAATAATTTTATCTTCGTAGTTGGTTCGTTTCAATCCGTGTCTCGTCGACAAATATATACATGTATATTACTCTCGTATATATGTATGCGGTACGCGAGCGTTTCCGTTTGTTTTCGACGAGTTTTGACCGACACCGAGTGAAATTCTGCCGCCGCTGTTGACCAGCGACGACAACGACGATGCGTTATAGATGAAGCTCGTTACGCTCGCAGACGACCGCTGCCGAAAAACCTTTTTACCTTGCGAACCTCGCGAACGGGGTCAAACGACAGCTAAATCGGATCCATCGAAAGTATGCACTTCTCTTGTTGCTCCTGCTGCACAGTACCTTAAACCGACCGACTGATCAACCGTCCACAGTGATGACTGAATGGAAATCCAGATCGTTACCTAGCAATTTCGAAATACTCTCCCTGTCAAATGTGCCAGTCGGTCCGTCGTGTTTACGTTCAAACTCCAAGAAAACGTACATCAGCCGCAATGTATCTTTTCCGGACGATGAAAGTCAAATTGTCACTGGCGTTCTCGAAACCGTGCATCCTTGGGAATCCAGTAAATAATTTATCATCTTCTATATAACATAGTCTCAGAAACACAGTGTATAATCAAACTTTTTATTGTTCTCAGTGGAAAACGTAACTGTAGAGTTACTCACTGCCAAATATAAAGAATCGTGTGAAAGACACAATACTAATCCATTATACTCTGTCCTCAATCAAATTAATTCTATAAACCCAAATTTGGAGAGGAATGATTGTCTTGACCTAAAAGGTGTCTTATTGACCAGTGTTGATTGGGAAAGTCTTGAAGAAATTTTTAAAAGAGTTCAGTTTAAAACTATAAACGTTGAAGCAACTGGATTAAATGATGATGTAAGAAAACTAAAATGTTTAAACATAATCTTTTCCACTAATTGGTTTGAGACTTGGTATAGGTACTGTATATAATTATACAGTCAGGACATGAAAGTTTGATCTTAAAAGTTGATATACWTAAAATAAGTTAACTAGGTATTTTTATTGCATGAACTTGATTTGCTTGCATAAATTTTTTGTATCTACTTCATTGTAACTAACCTATTTATTTTTTTTTTTTAAGAATTTCATTATACATATTATGATATACCATTATATATTGTCGTAAATGTATTTTTTTTWAAATTCCAAAAGAATTTAAACATTAGGTACAAGTTTGAGTAATAAAAGAAAAATATGACCGTCTTGTTTGGCAGCCAGCACAGAATAAAAAAAAATGTATAATTATTTTAATTTACTATTGACAGAATGMATGAACAATCACTAATCATTTAACGAATCAATACTGAGGTAATGGTCCCTCTAACATGATCTTGTGGAAATAATTCATCCATTAAATTTTATTGAACCATTTAATTAATAAAGTGTTTGTGCAACTCGGCATAAGATTAACTAAATTCAAAATGATTTAGTTATAACAAAAACAAAACTAGGTATTTACTTAATTCATATTTTGTTAATCATTTAAATGCCTTCCATTTCAACAAATAATAAATATTGCCTACCTATTGAATTGTCTATTACTTTTTATTCATAAGTTATGATAAGGAAAATTGAATTTTTAATATATCATTATTTTATATATTGTATTGAATAAGTAAACTTAATTAAATTTAAATTTTTAATTCACAGATAACTTAAAATCAATTATATGCTTCTCATGAGTATTGTCTATTCTATTATTTAGTATACAAAAGTTAGGAAAAATATGTCTCATTAAGTATGAATGATTGAACTTCATAAATTATTTAATAAAAACAGATGTCTCATATTCGTTTATTTTGTTATTTATATATTAGATTTATTAAAAATACTATAATTTATTAAATATAAATGTTTAATCCATAAGCAATATATTGTAAATTTATAATATTTTAATTTTTAGACAGCAATTGCATTGTTTGATATGTTAGACTTCTATGAATCTGCCATTTGTTTAAACATATCTTCTAACAATGATATTGGCACCAGAGGTTGGCAAGCATGTGCTCGTACGTTAAAAAAGGTGATTAGTTAAAATAATTTTAAAAATAAAGCATATTTAATTGTAATTTGATTTGATTTTTAGTCAAAAAGTTTAGAAGAATTAGAAGCTAGAAATACAATACTTAATGAATCAAATATAACTTCTTTGGGTCGTTCATTAAAATTTGGTTCACAATTATGTGTCTTAAAACTTGAAAATTGTAATCTTGCAGACCGGCCATTAACGTCATTAGGTGATTATTTTTAAATGCAATATTATATATTATTATATTTATTTAATTATTTTAATTAATATAAAAATAGTTGAGCTCATCATATTATATGTAATTACATAAACCTTGAGGCATTTTATCATCTGTTTTTCAAATTAATTAAGTTGAAGGAAAAATATCAAAGTCATCTAAATAATTATATTCTTACATATTGTTTCAGTTTCTTTAATAAAATTAAACAACACATTAAAAGAACTTTATTTGGGTGAAAATTATTTAAATGAAAATGATGCTAAACAACTTTCAATTTTACTAAAATGTAATACCACTTTGCAGTTATTGGATTTAAGGTAAACATATAATATACTTTTCTAAGTCACATAATATTATTATGTACTAAAATTTTTATGTACCTAATTGATTATTATTACTTATTTTAGCAATAATAACATTCAAAATAAAGGCTTTAAATTACTTTGTGAAAGCATTGTAAATTATAATTCTCCTTTGACAATTTTAATTGTCTGGAATAATAATTTGAATCACGAGTGCTCAGAGTGTTTGTCAAACTTAATGGTAATTATATTTATAAAGAAAAACTCAAAAATATTATAAATCATTATAGTGGAAAGTATTATCGAAAAGTTAAAGTGCATTTTTTTTCAAGCATAAAAGCATAATATTATACAAATAAATTACATATTTTATTTATTTTCTTAAATTAATTTGTAGGAATCGGAGACTAAATTAGAAATGCTCAATGTTGGATTTAATTGTTTACTCGACACCACGGCTAGTGCTATTCGAATACCAATGAAGAACAACAAAAATTTGATACGCTTAGGATTGCAAAGTACCCAAATTACTTGTATAGGAGTAAAACATTTAGCAGAAGCACTTGAAGCTAATACTTCTTTGCAAGTAAGAGATATATGTGGTTGTACTTAATTTTTTAACTAATTCATTTAGAAATCTATTTTGTTTTTAAGTAAATATAGTATTATTAGATATACATGACAATTATTTAGTATATAATAATATAAGATATGCTAATCATAAAATAATTTCGAAAAACTTATTATTTGTGTGATGGTCGATGGATGTTATACAAAAACATCAAGGAATAAAATTGATATCTTAAAAATATAATTACGTTAATCAAAACCATCTAGCATTTAATGTATCATTTTCAAGAATTACATTTAAACTCACTTTTGAAACAAAAAGTAATTTATCATTAATAATTACTTAAAAATTGTAAAAGCTTTAAATAATTTATTCTTGTTAATCATGAATCTAGAATGACTATGTCTTAAAAACTGCCAAAACAATAATAATAATAATTTTATAATTGTTTTTAAATTCTTCTTTTATTTTTCATAAATTCTTATTAATTTCAACCTAAATATTTAATACACATTAATTTAATAATTTCTTATATTATTGTCATATACTTGTATGATAGTTACTTTAGCTAACCCTCAATCACATGACTAATTTTGAACCTGCTAGTTTTGTAAAGTATTAAGCTCCTATATTGTATAAGGATAATCCAATTAAAATTGCTGTTTAAAGTAACTTTTAAATTTAATAAAAAGTATTCTTGTTTTGTATTTAGAACCTTCTTATTATATATATCTTTAGATATGTTTACACATATCTAATATCCTTGTGTATTGTAATATTATTCGCTTTTGCAGAGATTAGATTTACGTGATAATAATATTGAAGTTGAAGGGCTGAGAAATTTGAAAGAGTCCATTTCAAAAAATTTTAGAATTACACGCCTAGATTTAGATCCTCTGCCACGTAACAAATATGCAGCTGTAAGATATTATTATTTTCATTTTATATTATTAATTTTCTTTGCATTTTCTCAATAGGATCTAAACATAATTATTTCAAATTGATTATTTATTTATTGATTTTAGGATACAACTAAGGAATATACAAACTTAACAGAGCAAATCAAACAAATGTGTGAAGAAAATGAAAAAAAACATAATAGTACACAAATCGACGACGATCTACTTGACCAGATTACAGATGAGTCTAACATAACAAGAGCTATAAAAATACCTAATGTTGATTCTAGAAAGATATCTCTCACATGTGAATCATTAATGATGCAGTATACATCACTTAAAAATCCTAATTATCTTGGTTCAGATGATTACTTGCCTATGTTACGAGGAAGTAGTGGTAGATTAAGAAGTCCTGCTCCAAGTCCTATACACAGCCCAATTGCTAGTAGTCCAATGTGTAGTCCTTCAATTGTGTCAACACGTAATCGCTTCCATGTTTCTAAAGTGTCTGAACAAAAACAAAAAGAATGTCGATTTAAAGTGACCAAATTGAACAATTTAAATAATAAAGCACCAACAGCTAGTAACGAGTCATTATCTGATGATTCTTTTGGTCCTACCAATTTAGAACTCACAGTTGATAGTTTGGATTTGTGTAAACATAAAAATGATACCAAAAAAGAAAATCAAAGAACTAGGAAAGTGTCCTGGGTTATGGGATCACGACCATTGTTGACTTCATTACAAAACATCACCACGAGCTTGGATCAAGCCACCTCATCTGGAGTTGACAAGCTTCTCAGTTTATTCAGTCCTTTTTCTAGTGCAGACAAATCATCAGCTTCTATTGACACAGTTGAATCTAACGATTCTGTTTTTGAATCGGATCCTGAATCAAAAAAACCAGTTACACTGGATCAAGCTACTTGGCCACCAGTATTTGGAAGCTTGAAAAAAACCACGTCTATCTGCAGGCCATTATCAGATAAAGGTAGACGTAGTCTAAACGATTTGCGTACTTTTTAAATTTGAAGTGTAAGAGAGAGATAGTGACCTTGATACTCAAGCAATAATGCAAGTAGAGAAATGCATTTAAGTTGTTAATTTATAATGTAAGGTCTCCCCCTCAACACAAATCTCGTTTACAGTAGTATTTCTTACAAACTAYATTGTGATTCACAAGCACATGAGTACAAATTTTTTTTTCGTTGTTGAACAATTTATAAATATTTATGGGATCGTTTTTAGTTGTTAGTGCTATATGTTTAGTTAAACACACTCTCTAATCAAACATAAAACTACTGTGACGAGAATTCGCTTAATGATTAATTACATTATTAGGTGTAAAAACAACTACAGACTTGAAACCGTTTTTATCACTTAAATTATTTTATAATAACGTACACATTACTTAAAATTATACCTCAAGAATTTGTGCATTTTAAAATAAAACCAAATTTGGTATATGGCAATCTAAATAGTATATTGAACTTAAATATATGTGCCGGTGGATGCAATTTCTCTGCAAATATTATTATTGTGTTAATGWTTAATCAATTGGTTTCTTGTCCCGTGATTTTTCAAATTTAAGAACTGGTCTCAGTATGATAACAATTTAATTTTAGGTACATATAATGTGTATAATGACATTGAAATAATATTAAAAGTTACCAACCTGTGTTAAAAACAAATGGAACAAATAGATAATCATATTGTTATATTATGTACATGGCTAGTACATTAATTTTCAGTACCATTTAAGCACAATTTTTTTAATTTTGTAGTTTCTTGATTTCACTTGCCAATTCTTTGTATTTTCAAATTGAATCAAAGTACCTTATTTTTACTTCTCAACTTCAACTTTAAAAGTAAAATAATTTATGTCTGGATCTGACGTGTAAAAGCACAACCAGTTTTCAGACGTTTGGGAGTTTATGATTAGCATGAATTTGCATGCAAAATACCATTACAAATGGGTTTTTTTTTTTAAGTTTGTTTATTTACAGTTCTACATTTTATTTTATATATTCTTCTTTTTCCGAATTCTTCGATATTTTTATTGACTGTGATTTTTATCTTGGGTTTTTCTTTGTGATAATTGTTTTTAATGATCATACAAATTATTAATGAATATATATATATATATAATATACTGTTTTTTTCGTTATATTCATTCAGTTACTTAAATTTTATTGAAACGAAAATATTCCAAAGACTGACATTTTCCAAACAGTATTTGGAAAGACTTAAAAGTCAATTTATTCATTAAACAAACACTTAAACTCTCATAATATCATACATTTCTTTACAGGTGCCATTTTCTTTTACTTTATTTAATGGTTAAGTCCAAACTAGTTGGAAAATATTGTTACCAAATTTACTATCAGATAATTATTAAATAGTTATTAGTCTATATATTATATTAGTTATTTATAGTTTAAAATATATTAAAAAACTAAATATAATAATATTATAAATATAGAATTAGCGTACTTAACTTAAGAAGTTTATTAATTTTTCTATTATGTTTTATAATATTAAATGAACATGTGTTCTTATAATGAATAAAGTTGCTATATATGTTTATAACCTTTGCATTTAAATTTAACGCTCTTATCGCGACATGTTTATGTAATATATAAAATTATGTTGTTATTTACATATTTTTTTGTTATTTCGAAAGAAAAATTATTACCATGTTAAACTATGTCCTTTTTAATTTTTAAACTATTACAAATTTATTAATTTACTTAAAGTTTATTGTATACATACACGTAATATTTAAAAATATACATATTAATTTCTGTTATTTTTTTTTTTTTTTTTATGGGATTGTCTAAAACTAATGTAACGGACAATTATGATATTTAAACAGATTAAATCTTATTGTTAAAATATATAAATATATATACTCTGTAGAAAAAAATCCTTTGAACATTTATATTTATGTATGGCACACAACTTGTATTATGAAATCACATGTAAGAAAATCTAAACAATTTAAATCAGAAAATATTTTCAAATCTGTGTATTATACAATACTATGTTATATTGGAAAATAATAATAAAGAGAAAATGTAGATTTTTACTCACTTTACAAGCTGTTTTAGATTCTGAACGAAGTGATGAATGTATTGATTTTACAATGATATGTGTGTTGTTTTTTTTTATGTTTTTTTTTTTGTGTCTGTGTACAGCATAACTAGTCGAAATAATGCTTCGATTTCTAACTTTGGGGGTGGTTTCCGATGTAAAATTGAAGATCCTTGGTGTATTATAGAGGTCAAAAGTAAAYATTTCCCAACAGTTTTCAAAAAAATTGAGAAAAACAAAAAAAAAATGACAGAAAAACAGGAATTTTTACGAACAACCAGTTTTCGACCAAATCGATATTTTTATATGGTTGTAATTCAAAAACTAATCACTGTAAATACTTGAAATTTTCACCAAATGTTAATGTTAGTGATATCTATGTACAGTTTAATTTTCATAACTTTTTTGAGATATTTATAAACAACTGAAATTTTCAATTTTTCTGAAAATTTTGTTTTGAGGTGTCGATAAAATTTTTATGGCTCTATCAAAATACTTGAAAATTTAATGCAAAGTTCCTCATAAGTTATTCTTATAGTGATTAAAAAATTATAAAAATACATAGGCACGATTTTTTTTTATAGGATTTGAAGTTCAAATATTGACTTAATTCGTAAAAATTACGGCAATTTTCAAATTATCTTAGATCGAAATTCATAAGTTTTTCTTTTTAATTCTAAGATTTGAGAATTTAATACAAGGCTCATAATATATTTTTACAATAGCAGTTRAAAAATAAAAGGAATATATAGCCACATTTTTTTTTAAATGCATTCAAATTTTAATTTTGACAACATACCTAAGAAGCACGAAAATTCGTAAATTATTTTATTCTAGAAATTCATAAAAAATTTTCCTTTTATTCCTAARATTTGAAAATTTAATACTTGCTCCCAAAATATTTTTACAAAGCAGTTGAAAAATCAAGAAATGTATAGTCACATTTTTTTTTATAAGCATTTAAAGTTCAAATTTTGTCTAAATACGTAAAAATTACGAAAATTTGCAAATTATTATAAGCTAGGATATTCATAAAAAATTTTCTTTTTAAATCTAAGCTTTGAAAATTTAATACAAGATTCCTTACAAATTTGTCAATCTTTATCACAAAAAAAATGTCCACCGGAAATTCAAATTAAATTTTTATTAGCATTTGAATTTCAAATATTGACAAAAATTCGTCAAAACCATGAATATTTGCAAATTATTTTGTAGTTCAAAATTCATAATATTGTTTGTATTTATATCTAAGGTTATACCACAGTTTCATTTAATCTGTGGTTATACAATTTAACACCAAGTTTTCCATAAGTTTTGCTTCAAATAGCTATAGAGAAAATTTGAAACGTCATTATAGGAAAAACGTTTTGAGCATTTGAGTTTTAAATTTTTATGAAATCGCGTAATGATAACGATTTATCCTCAAACTAGGTATTCKTATATCTATGATAATATAAGGTATTTTGAATTATGATAACTACACTAATTGATTAACCAATAACCATGCYTTATGCAAAATGCGTCTTAATTGAAAAATAAAATATTTGTTTCAAAATAGAATATATCAATATATGACAATATTTAAATATAATATATCCTAGACTGACAAATTATGTCCGTTCAGAATTGTTTTTCGTATACAATGATACCTACCTATCATTGCATTCAATTTTAATCCCATCCATTACAGTAACCTACAAAACAGCAGAGCGACATCCACGACTTACCCACTTTTTTCACTTTTGTGGGTCAACTAATATGCGAAACTAGATAAAGACAAAATCGGTAGGTACAACATACAGTCAGAAACACACCATATACTATAATGGGGGTGGCCACAACGAGGCTTGCGAGCCGCATGCGGCTCTTAAATCAATTTCGTGAGGCTCTTGAACCAAACTTAGACTAAAATTAAAAGTAAATAAATCTTCCTTCATTTGTTTTAAAATGAAAAATGTATCTTTATTTTATAAACATTGCTTTACAATGTGTGACTCAMMTCAAATTAACTTTATAAATTTGCGGCTCTTTAAGTTAAGGTTAGTGGCCAACCTTGCCATATAGCATTAAACACGGTACCATTGGGAACAACTTCCAAGCCCATCACTTGGGGAGACCAGTGTGATTGTTATTTGTGGGTACGGACTTATGGGAGATATTGGTTGTCTAAATACTAAGTAAATATGGGTTCCCATAACCATATCTGTACAATATTAAGCCAACAAAAAACTGCCTGTTTAATGGAGATTTGTTATGTAAGATAGACCCTACTTATGTCATTTTGGTTTTTTCTTAAATTAAAAAAAATGTACCAACAATTGCAATAACTATATTTTCTGTTTTTGACATTAATTTAAAATTAACACAATCTAAGAGGACGCCTCTTATAGAACCTTATATGTATGCTAATATCACCTAATATAGACTTGAAATAATTATATTTCATATATTTTAGTACTTTATTGTTCCTTGAACAGGGTTTAGTTAAACACCTGCAGTAACATTTAATGATACTGAAATTCAAATTTGCCAAATTTATTCATCAATTTTACTATATAAAAATTGTGTTAATAAAAAAAAATACCATTAACAACTAAGAGTAAGATATAATATATCATTTAAGCTATTTTCGAAGTCATATGCGATGAAACACCTTCAGGAATATTTTCCAAAAGTACCTGCAACATTTTTAAAATTTTTGTAATTAAGATTAGTTTAAATTCATTAAAATGAAAATAACTCACTTTGGTTACTTTAAGAGCAACTCCTTCCGGTAAATTTCTTTGAACATACTCCAAAAAGGTTTCTGCAGTAGAACCAGTAAGCTTATGGAAATGAATGAACCTAAACCACGTTCTCACTTCATATTGTACTCTACACCTTTTATGGACGTGAATGGAACGTAATAATGTGTACCGTTCATGGTGAGCTTTACGTGGGGACCAGCTAAAAATAAAAATTGTACACTATCTTAACAATTCTTAATGACATTTTAACTTTAAATTAAATAATAGAATATAACATAACTAAGAAAATAAATCTAAAAGTGATTATCTTCTCATTAATAATTAAAACCTTCAATATTTTATAAATGGATGGTATGTAAATGTATATATTTAAAAAAAGTTAATGTATCAATAGTCATAACTTATAATAATCTACATCAGTGGTTCTCAAATAATGCACAAGAGGCACCACGAGCACGTTCTAAAGACATCGCCATCTATGGCTCAAAAAATAATTTAAGATGTATAGAATTTTTTTTCAAAAATTTGTTATTTATGAGTATTTTTTTTGTCCYTTTTTTATGGTATTCATAGCAAGGCACCGTGGCTATATTTTATCTAAAAAAAGAGCATTACAGAAAAAAGTTTGGAAACCGCTGACCTACATTATTTATTTAACTTATGCTATTTAATAGAAAAAATATTAGTTTTAATTTTTTATGATTTTTTTTTTTATCTATAAAATTACTATTTAATAGATTATTTTGCTGAAAGGTAAATATAAAATTCCATACTAAAGTCTGAAAGTATTGATTTTAAATTGTTACCTTATATAGGTAAGTCACAAACACCTACATTTTTATCTAATTTACATTTTAGATACCTCATAAGAATACATATCTATTAAATTATTTTAATATATAATTAAGCATAATGCAAGAGGGCACCAACATTTTCAATACTATACWATTAGTAGTAACCCACCATTTACCGATTTGGATCCCTAGTTCATTAGCAGCCATAGTTGCGAATTGAGTGTAACTACGCAATACTGCACGATCATTGCTACGACATTCGAATTCTATAGTCTTGTATAATTTATCCAGTTCTTCATCCTAAAGTTGTAAATACATGAAACAAAGTTTAGTACTACACAACAACAACAATGATTAGTGATCATTGATTGATGACAACTATTAATCATTGATCTATAACTACAATGTTATTTACTTGAACAGTTACAGACGCCAAATCATTTTGTTTGATATTACTCTCTTCGGATTTTAGTGGTTTGGCGCATAATGATCTTGTAGATAAATTAAAATAAGAAGGAAACAACACCGAAGTTTTTCTTCTGTTTAATAAGGTTTTCAAGAAGGTTGTCATTTTTGTGTTGTCAACTCGTGGTCACCCGAAAATATTGAAAATTATTCACACGACTCAAAATTCAAAAAGCTTAACTTTAAAGTTTAAATGGTTTAAATTTATATTATTTTATATCACGGTTAAAGAAGACCGTGCTTTACTGCTTTATATATTATCATTTATCACAGATTATAATATAAAACCTATAAAACAGTTTTATATTWTCTGTAATATTATCAATATTGTTCTATGATATTATCACAGAATATTCTGTATTACTCTATGGATACTATGCTATTCCTATCACTTATATTTTATCATAACTCGTTCTATGACGATGAAAATATGTACCAAGTACCTCCACATCCCCTCCCTTAGATCATATACAATGGATGGAACCATGTCCTATCTTGCCCATGTTGGCAGGTTGAAGCACATATTACTATATTAGCGACGAGTCGCGAGATGAGATGAGCGATCTGCGCATGCGTGCATGTATACTCTTCGCATGTTTATTTTATTAATAAAAACGCGGGATATTCAAAATAATAATATAGTTATTTATTTTATTAATTATTTATCACAGAACATACAATATTAGCATGGACTAAGATATATCTTAGTCCATGAATATTAGTTATTACTACTTACTGATTTTTAAATAATATTAATTTTGTTATAATAGATGAATAATAGATTTGTATATTTAATATTTATATGAGATATGACGAATTTTTAGTATGAATTCCCAAGGAGGATGCAATTTTTTTAATAAATATGTGACGAGTATACATGCGCATGCGCAGATCGTGCATCTCATCTCGCGACTCGTCGCTAATATGTGCTTCAACAAATCGGAACATGGCTCCATCCATTGTATATGATCTAAGCCCCCTCCCACACAGTCTATCGTTTCCAGCATGATAAAATAAAGAWTAAACTATTTATTTATTTTATCATGGTTTCCAGTCCTCTATAATAGGTATTTTAATTCTTAGTCCGTGGTGAATGGTCATTGTATACTATTGTAGTCAAAGCATAATATACATCTGATCTGTAGACCTAATACATACTTCAGAGTTTATAATAATCTGAAATGTATAGGTACAAATATAAGAACATAAATAATTATGATTTATTAGTATGTATTTACTAAGTTTCAATGAATTTTTATTTGTTATTAATGAATACTGTTGATGCATGATTATAAAATTTATAATAGTTTGTGTAAGTAGGTACGTCTTCTACAATTTAGGATTAAGAAAATTGATACTTTGATTGTTGTCAAAAAGTCATCAACTGTCATTAAAAAAAAACTTAATGTCTTCACATGTTTAACAAATTTGCTAGCCATACCAAAATAATTGCTGTAAACAAAATTCAATGTCAACTATGTTATATCAATAATCAATATCATTTTAAACTTTTATAACTTTAAGCCTTAAAATAGTTTAAAATTTTTAAAGTATTTATGGCTACATCAATTTCTTGAGAGGRCTAAGAAATTACTTAGAGATTTATGTTCTGATCTACCAAGTTATAAAATGTATACCTATCAGTTGAAGAGAGAAAGATTTTGGTAGGAAAGGCTTCCGAGCACGGTTCTAAGAGATTGGTAGTTGCGCAGAATAGGTTGCGAGTTATGTTGGATACCAAAGATGTCACCAAATACATGTTCGGTTTGTGGAAGGTGATGGCCCAATATTTAGTTCCGGAATGGGTCGCGAGAATTGTATATACCACTTAAGATTTATAAAATTGTAGAGAACCATACATATTGTGTTGTTTGTACGATAGGCCCTGCTGAGGTATTTGGCATTGTAGTTATCACCTATGATAAAGTATTCACTATTAGTACTAATGTAATTTATATCATCTTGGAGGTGAACATATTGTTGACTGTTGAGGTGTAGTAAAATAGCACAAGTTTATAAATGAGGTTGACAAAAATTTGGAAGGGTTTGAAATGACAAGGAGGATTTAATATAAATTGCAGCAGCACCATGAGCAGAGCCATTTGGGTGATTTGTTTTTAGGAGTTGATAACCAAGTATAGGAATGCGAGAGTATTTTGTAAAATGTGTTTTAGACATCAATATCATCGATATCGATACATTTCTCTTGAAGTAGGTACTAACTGGAGTTTATTTGATGGTTTTTGAGACCATTTGACATTTGAGTCAAGTAGCGGATTTATTAGTGATTTAAATTCATCAAGAAACTTGTTTATGTCTKATACAGGAGGAGGAATTATGTGGTTTGGGTGTGAACCTGAGGTAGCTTGAGCGTAGGTTTGGGTCGAGTTTGATGTATGAGTTGGGGGAATTACCACTGGATGCTGGTTGACTAACCTGTATAATTTTCTTATGATTAATATTTTTCGGCAGGATATATTTGACCCTGAACCTGCAAAGATAAACAGATAATAAATATATGTAAAATAGAATAATGTTTGRGGAATAGTATGTTCCTTCACGCGAGTAGACGTAGCAGGTAATCAATTATATATGTTAGTTCCCATAGTTCCTACATGGTAAAAACAGGTACGTATAGATAGTCCCTATACATTAGAAAAAATGTGTAAATATGTATTTACGAATTTTCAGGAATAAATATAAGATTAAAAATATTTAAAACAATTGCATAAGGCATTTTCACAAATAAATTAATAATAATTAAATTTGATATGTTAAATTAACTTTAATTTGTTGTATTAAATTTTGTATAAACTTTATACGCTTTATTGATAATTTGATAAACAATTAATATATATCTATAATATATCAAATGAATCAATCTTTCTCTTGAAAATGTGGGTGTGGCAATGTTCTAATAGAGTCCATATGACAATTGACAAACGCTTGTGAAAGTTTTCATTTAAATTTTTATCACCGGAATCTTCATTTTTTTTAAATTATTGAAATTCTAAAACTTTTTCAAGTAAATACATATATAAAAATAAAAAACACAATTAGTAATACGAGACGAAAAATTAGTCAAAAATACGAAAAAAAAAGATTTTATAAATTGAAAAATTTCAGATTATACAATAAACAAAATTAATTAATACGACTATGTTAAATTTTTAAATTTTAAAGTTATAGAAATAAACATGATAAAATTTAAAATATCGCGTTATACCTACGATTTTTATTATATTATTTACTCATCATATATTACACTTATGTGTAAATAAATCTTATCCATTAAACAATAATTTATAATGTTATATTGAATATTTAAATATTCGGAGTTGATTTCCGAAACTAGAGAACGAATTTGATTTTTGGGATCTTGTTAGATTCACATTGGCTAGGAAATGATGCAGTGAAAACTTTCAGCACTTTTTTTCAATAGTTAATTCACTACAGAGCATAAAAAAAAATTAACCACATTTTATACCAAACGATGACTAAGTGGCCCAGCAAAATATGTTTTCCAAAATTAAGATCTTCATCACATTTTATAACTGTTGCATACTGGCATATGAATTGTGAAATCATATCACAGGTTCACTCCACCGCAGTAATAATAGTATAAATTATTACCGCCAAACGGCTAAATTTGGGACAGTTTACAATAGAAATTCTATTTCATATGATAACATTAAGATTTATTAATCTAGACTTATTTTCAATGTAACTTTTTGTTTTTGGTTGTTTGATTCTTTTAATATATTCTATAGTAATAATAATATCATCAAAGTATAAGTATAATATTATTTGATTTAATTAACTCTGCGAAAATACAATTAACTACAAATCTCTGAAATGTATTTTGGCCATTACTAAGCCCAAATGGCATTTTACAAAAACTCATATTGAACCAATGGAAATATGAAAGCTGTATATTTYCTCGATAACTAAGCTTCATCCATGTGGTTTTTTACTTCTTAATAAATCAATTTGATCATCAATCAATGGTATAAGATGAATATCTCTATGAACTATCTTATTCAATTCTCTGTCATCCACACTTAGTCTCAGCTCCCAAGACTGTTTATTAACCAAATCTAATTTACTACTATACTCTGATTTACATTCTCAAATTAAACCCTTATTCGGTAAAGCATCTATTGTCTCTTGCAATTAATGTTCTTCGATTAAAATAATCATCTCGGTTGGAAACCTAATACGTTTTGATTTTTAGGGTAATTTCTGATAGTTGGCTGACTACTGATTAAAAACCTTGATCACTGTTACCACTCAAATACATGTTTTTATATATATAAATTCCATATCCTTCCTAAAATGGTCGGGTAGTGTGAAGTAAAATTTAGGAWCAACCTTATCACCCACGACATTAATAATAACTAGGTGAAGAAATTCATCGAAAAAAAAGCTGCTAAAAAAGTGGATATAACTTTTCTGTACAGTAAACTACAATAAGTCAATAAGTGGGTTACTGTAATGGATGAAAATTAAATTTTAATTCAATGATAAGTATAATATCATTGTATACGAAAAATGATTTTAAGCGGAGGCTTTGTCAGTCTAGAACTCTAGAATATGTTAAGCTATATTCATAATATTGTTTTTATTTGAGAAAAAAAAATTTTGCTACCTATAAAATAAATTCCAAATTAATCAAAATATCAAATCAGATTCGTTATGCGCCTGACGCGCTCAGTCGTTCATGGTGGGTAAATACAATTTATTAAAAAATATAAATATAACTTACACTATATAAGGCATTAACGACAATAACTAATAACTATTAACATTAGAATATAAAGAATACTCTAGAAGTCTAGACATTTTCAGTATCCATGGTTAATATAACTAACAATATAACTCAAATTTKTATTCTTGATTATTTAATATGTAATTTCATCCAAATTTAAACTTAAAATAACTATAAAAAAAACTTTGTTTCTATAGTTTTTAGATTTTTTTTGTAACAGAATTAACTATTTACGTGGAACCTTGTTTTAAATTTCTAATCTTTAGCTATAAAATGTAAACGTTTAATACATTTTTAACAACTAAAGAATTTGTAAATTTTCAATTAAATAAATTTKGTCAAAATTTTAACTTTAAATGGATATATAAAAAAAAACGTGMCTATGTATTTTAAATATTTTCCAACTGCTATTATATCAACTTATGACTTATGAGACATATCCTTTTATTAAATTTTCAAGTTTTATAAATCTTAGATTTAAAAAGATACATTTTTATGAATTTTTAACTA